CCAAGCCTTGGCATACTCAAGGAAGACTTCCTGCAGATCAAGTTTCAGCCTGTTAAACAAATTTACATGAGAAAAACAACCCCATTAAAAAGTATATATCCTCCGTGTTTTTCTGTGGGAAAATAAATTACAAAGTCTTTTAAGAGTTGCTCTTTGGTGAAAAGAACAAACATGACTTTGAAAGGAAATGTTTTACTACTACCAAAATCTCCTGAGTGAATAAGTACCATAGAAATGTCTTATTACACCTATATCTGCCATTGGCTCTGACCAAGGCTGCAAATAGTAGGGCTTCTGAAAGGGAAATGTTAGAATCTGATATTCTGAAAGATGTTTTCCTATGGAGTAAGCTTAGTGTCTTTCTGAGAGTTGGGGGAAAATTTCCTGGTAAATATTAATAGCATCTTTGCCAAGTGTCTGATTATCTTCTATTCCTTAGGGCGGATGAGTGGTCCATATTGCTCTAACTACTACTGTCAGTACTTACAGTGTATTGTTTTTAAAGAGTAAAACCTTTAAGTCCTAGCAGTTGTATTTTCTCATTCATAGCAGCAGAAGGGTACAGTTGTTTATTCACTTAGCCTTTTTCCCCCCCTCTATTTCCTACAAATCTAAGAATAATTATTGGAGTTAATATGAAAGATACGTAGGCATTTGTTCCTACTTTTTAATTTTTTTCTTTAAATTATAAAAACCTTGGGGATTTAAGAAAATGTCAAAATCAACAAATAAATGTGAATTATTGGGGAAAAAAGTAGGCAAAAGACATGAACAGCCACTTCTCAAAAGAAGACATACATGCGGCCAAGAAGCTGATGAAAAAAACCTCAGTGCACTTAGCATTAGTGAAATGCAAATCAAAATCACAGTGAGATACCATCTCACACCAGTCTTAATGGCTGTTCTTAAAAAGTCAAAAAATAACAGATGCTGGCAACTCTGCAGAAAAAAGAAAACATTTATACACCATTGGTGGGAGTGTAAATTAGTTCAACCATTGTGGAAAGCAGTATGGTGATTCCTCAAAGAGCTAAAAGCAGAACTACCATTCAACCCAGCAATTATATTACTGAGTATAAACCTAGAAGAATATAAATCATTCTTTTTTCTTTTGAGATGGATTTTTGCTCTTGTTGCCCAGGCTGGAGGGCAATGGCATAATCTTGGCTCACTGCAACCTCAGCCTCCTGGGTTCAAGCATTCCTCCTGCCTCAGCCTCCTGAGTAGCTAGGATTATAGTCGCCTACTACAATGGCTCATTTTTGTTGAAATATAAAACATTCTGCTATACAGACACATGCATATGAATATTCATTGCATCACTATTCACAATAGCAAAGACATGGAATCAACCTAAATGCCCATCAGTGACAGACTGGATAAAGGAAATGTGGTACATATACACCATGGAATACCATGCAGCCATAAAAAATGAGATTATATCTTTTGCAGGAATATGGATGGAGCTGGAGGCTATTATCTGTAGAAAACTAACATAGGAACAGAAAACCAAATACTGTATATTCTCACTTATAAGTGGAAGTTAAATAATGAGAACTCATGAACACAAAGAACAACAGACTCTGGGATCTAATTGATGGTGGAGGGTGAGAGGACGGAGAAGAGCAGCAAAGTTAACTATTGAGTGCTGGGCTTAATACCTGGGTGATGAAATAATCTGTACAATACACTCTTGTGTCACAAGTTCACCTACGTAACAAACCTTCACATGTACACCCAAACCTAAAATAAATGTGTGTGTGTGTGTGTGGTTTTTTTTTTTTTTTAAGTTTCAGTTGTCTGAAATGTGCTTGATATGTTTCTGTTTGGCGCATGAGGTAGACACCAATGGTGGTGATGGTATGTGTGAATTTGGTGTGTGTGTACTGAGGAAGATGTGTTAAGGTTAAGTTTCTGGAAGGGACCCAAGACTGGACCTTGGGCCGGGCGTGGTGGCTCACGCCTATAATCCCAGCACTTTGGGAGGCCAAGGTAAGCAGATCACGAGGTCAAGAGATTAAGATCATCCTGGTCAACATGGTGAAACCCCGTCTCTACTAAAAATACAAAAAATTATCTGGGTATGGTGGCACACGCCTGTAGTCCCAGCTACTTGGGAGGCTGAGGCAGGAGAACTGCTTGAACCCAGGAGGTGGAGGTTGCGGTGAGCCGAGATCACGCCATTGCACTCCAGCCTGGGTAACAAGAGCGAAACTCCATCTCAAAAAAAAAAAAAAAGACTGGACCTTGTTGTGCAAGGGCAAGTTCTTATATTCATCAGTTCATGTACATGTGGGTCACAGTAAGATATAACCATGATGGACGGATACCAAGAAATTTCTCAAACTATATTCTGAAGAAAACATGATCCCAGAGAAAGGTTGAGAGTTTAATAGTTTCTATCACCAAATAACTTTGAGAACTACTGCAAATTTAATCCCCCTTTTAAAGATGCAAAGGCATATATAAATTTCTTAGCACACCAGTTTACATCCTTGAAGAGAGATGTTTCTTCCCTTCCCTCTCACATATTTTGAAAGCACTAGTTTATGGAGATTATATATAGAGTGTCCATTGTTCAGGCTAGGAAGGGTGAACATAATATCTGCAAGTAATAGAATATGATCAAAGGCTCCTGGGCAGATGAGAAACATGCACCAAGTGGTATTTCAGAAAAAAATTAATCTAGTGAGATTTGGAATATGGAACAAGAAAGAAAAAGAGTGTAACCAGGAAATGATTCTGAAAACCTTCTCTGCCTTCATTCTAGTTTGGCTTACGAAACTGTTGGGAGTTGTGTTTGCTTTGCAAAACTTTTCTTTTCAGCTATGAACTACTTTCTTTAAATAAAGTATTATCTCAAACCCTAATAAAAAAATAGATGAAAGAAAACTTATCTGGTTAATGGAGAAGAAGAAGAAGGGCTCCAAATAAGAGCAAGAAAACTGGTCTGTAATATACAGATCCTGGGAAAGAAGCAAGGACTAAGAAAGCTTTAACTTCGCCAGGGACGTATGAAATAATTTTCAAGCTGCATAATGCTGAATGGTCTATTAACCATAAATGATATGGTTTGGCTCTGTGTCCCCACCCAAATCTCATCTTATAGCTCCCATAATTCCCACGTATTGTGGGAGGGATTAAGTGGGAGATGATTAAATCATGGAAGTGGGTCTTTCCCATGCCGTTCTCACGATAGTGAACAAGTCTCATGAGATCTGATGGTTTTAAAAATGTGAGTTTCTCTGCACAAGCTCTCTTGTTGCCTGCTGCCATCTGCGTAAGACATGACTTGCTCTTCCTTGCCTTCTGCCATGATTGTAAGGCTTCCCCAGCCATGTGGAACTGTGAGTCCAATTAAACCTCCTTCTTTTGTGAATTGCCCAGTCCTGGGCATTTCTCTATTGGCAGCATGAAAATGGACTAATACAGGACACATGAAGTAATTTTCATGTTGCATAACACTGAATTGTCTATAAACCACAGAGACATAGTAATCTAAAGTTACTGAAACAGGATGTTACGGAGCTGAAAGGAAACCTAGGTTTTGGTACCCAGTAGAGCTAACCAAAAGCAATATGGCATGTGACCTTTGTGTATGTCAGTCTCACTTCTAAATTTACCAGAAAAACAGAGGGGAAAGAGACAAGTAGCCAGTACTTAAGAAGTATTTTCTTTGACCCAGCATTGTGAAAATGACAAAACTTGCCTGGTGACAGCCCTCCAAGACAGCTAATGTGACTCACTCTCTTAGTGCCATGCCCGACAATCTTTACTACTTCCCTCTCATTCACCACAGTGGTATACTGAACCGGTTATTATATTTTGAACCACATTACTCTCTCTAGGATGAAATCTCTATTCTTCACAGATTAAAATGGACCACGATCCATTCTAGATTTCAATTAGTTCTTACTGCCCACTCTGGAGCCTCTTATTGTTTATGATATTTAAAAAGTTTACATTATTAATAATCAAGAAAATGCAAATTTAAACAACAATGGGATAAAATTTCACGCCCAAGAAATTTGCAACAATTTTAGAGACTGGCAATATCAAACGTTGGAGAGGATAGGGAACATGGTGATCTTAAAACGGAGTGGTTAGAGTGGGTAGGAGTATAAATTGATTCAATCACTTTGGAAAACAGTTTGGTATTTCACAATACAGTTAAATATATCCATATAATTTGACCTAACAATTATTTTCTGTGTGTGTTTAAATTATCACATTGTGTGTGGAACAAGTAAACACTATTATTAAGTGAATGATGAATTGTTAATGAATTATAGATAAATATGTATCTCATGAGATATTGGAATGTTTTAAAGTTATGGCTACTGTATTGGAAAATATGTTTTCTTCTGCTTTTTTGTATTATGGTGATTAAGTTAAACGCCTTTTTAACCTTTTTTTAGAACTTTTTACTTCAATAGTTTTGGGGGGTACGCATGGTTTTTCGCTACATGCATAAATTCTTTAGCGGTAATTACTGAGATTTTTATGTACCCATCACCCAAACAGTATACACGTGTACACTGCACCAAAAAGGCAGTTTTACATTCCTCACATTCTTCCCAGTCTTCACCCTCATATCCGCAAAGTCCATAATATCATTCTTATCCCTCTGCATCCTCATAGCTTAGTTCTAACTTTTAAGTGAGAACATACTATACTTGACTTGCCATTCCTCAGTTACTTCACTTAGAATAATGGCCTCCAGCTCCATCCAAGTTGCCTCAAAGACATTTTTTTGTTTAACCAAAGACATCAAGCCACAATGTATCAAATCATGTCATGTGATATTCAATACAACAAAATTCAAGAACACAAAAGAATCTCAATAGCCTCTTGACATTCCTTGATGAGATTTGACCAGCATTTTGAGTCTCTTTAAATCACAGCAAAATATATTCATCAGAGAGCCTCTTATTTTTTCACTTAACCTCCGCATTTAACAACAAAGAAATACAAACATCATCAAAAGCTAGATCACTTACCATAAATGCCTGTTGAGATGCAGGGAAATGCCTGTGAATAAACCACAAAAATAACAATAAATATTAAAGAAACAACTCTACTCATCATCTATCTCAACATCTATTGTGCTTGATAATGTGATGCCCTCTACTTACATACTCAGAGCTATGAGTTGGAGTAAGGGACAATGGAAATGGAAACATTTGATTAACTTGTAACTGTTCCCTATCAACAGTTACATCAGCTCACAAGAACCAACTGTGAAGTTGTCAGGAATCTTAAATAAATGACATAAAACACAGATACCCAATAGTTGGAACTCATCCCTTTTTAATTACTTGGCACATTTGACGGTTACCTATGTATGCCTGTCATATTTGTATGGTGAAATACTATACAAGCCTCTCTTCCCAGCTTCATGGTACGTGATGTCACATCAGTGGCTTATAATCTGAAAACATCAACTAACATTCATGACCCATATCACAGGACAGTTAATAACACCAACTGCTATGGATACACATTTTAGGTAAAATTCAACAAAAGCATTCCGTGAAAATCAATGAACTATTTTGAATGTATAATAAAGAATATTACAGATATTATACGTAAGTTATGTACTACACATTTTTTATGTCAGTAACATGTAAAATAAGCTTATATAACACATACCCCTCTCTTGAGAGTCAGTCTTTAAACATTTACCAGCACACTACTGCTTAAACCATATTTTGCTTAGCAGTGTTTACAGAATTTGATTGAAAAAAAAAAAAAAAACAAATCGACAAATGTAAATGTGTAATTTACATGAAATTAGGCTTTCTAGCTGTAGAAAGTGGTCTGGGTGTGGCAGCTTTCCCTGCCAATGGATTTCTGTATAAATTCAACCAAGTTGTTTTACTCTTTCTGGTCTGTATTTTTCAACTGTAAAATCAAGATGATAATGCCCACCATACAGAAATGTGCGGTGGGCTGTTGGTGGGAATGTAAAGCAGCAAAACTTCTACAGAAAACAGTACAAAAATTTCTCAAAGAACTAGAAATAGAACTACCATTCCATCCAACAATCTCACTGCTCAGTATCTGCTCAAAGGAAAAAAATTATTTTTTTAAAAAACCTGTATTCCTACATTTCTTCACAGCACTATTGACAACAGTAACACTATGGAGTCAACCTAAGTTGGAGTCAACCTAAGTCCATCCATGGAGAATTGAATAAAGAAAAGATGGTAGGTGGAATACTACTCGGCCATAAAAAAGAAGAGTGGAATAATGCACTGAAGACTCAGAAAGGTAAAAAGGGTCAAGGGAAGAGAAATTACCTAAAGGGTACAGTGTACACTGTTAGAGTGATTGTCACATTAAAAGCCTAGACTCCACCATTAACAATATATTCATGTAACAAAATTGCACTTTTACCCCCTAAATCTATGAAAACTGAAAAAAAAAGTGTGCTGTAGGAATTAATGATAGATTTTTGTTTAAGTTACTGGCACTACGTTAGAATCTAAAAACTGCTGCTGCTATGGACCATAATAGCCAACATTATTATTGAGATCAATAATAATAAAATAGCTAAGTCCTTCTTGTTTTTAATCTTTTGGTTAAATGTGTATTGCATTTTATTTCTGTTAACACTATTACCTAGTGTATGTTTGTTCATTTCCTTTGCATGATGACCTGTTAAAAAGGTTATGTGATTATAACCTGTTAAAAATTTATGTGATTTTGTTTCAGAGAGAGTAGAAATTGGCTTTGTTAAACTCAACTATATGTCTGTAAAATGATATCTGCTTTTCTCTGCTCCTGTGGAAGCATTTACTATTAATAGCAAATTCTACTGTTCATAATGAGAAGGTAGAACAGTTTCTGGAACATAGTAGATGCTCTTTTTAAATTAAATTTATGAGTCAATACTTGGATTCCAAGGGTTCTTAAGGTGCCAGTAACATCTGAAGAATGTTCTTGAATGACTTAATCTTTCAATGATACAGATAATGAAGCAACAGCATAACACAAATTCTGAAAGTGTTATAGTCTCTTTACAGGCATTCATCAAGACTACCAACAGGTGTTACTCTCCATACAGAAATCAACTGCAAGCTTACTGTAAGATATTTGTTACTGTTGGGAAGGACTCAGAGTTCAGGAATAGCCTACTAAAAATATAAATTGGAGAGGATTCAGGGTCATCCCTGTATTTACGCGATGCCATTCATGTTCCAATATACCTTTTAAGTGGGATAAAAGTGAGTTTACAGCTTGAGCCCCAGGAATTCCATGGGAGCAAAGTGCACATGTGAGCATCATGTATCTCACATTTGGAGAGAAAAAAAAAATGTTTGAGAACTGCTGCATGGAGTCATCAAAGCATAGGAAAGGCAAGATTTTACCTCTACCTTCTTAGAGTTCTTCAGTTGTGGCTGGTAATTAAATTGACACAAGACATATCAACAGGACAAAAAAAATAGAAATTTAATTCAAGTTTTATGTGGCATTGGAGGCTTTATAAGAAAATGAAGACTCGGCCAGGCGCGGTGGCTCACACCTGTAATCCCAGCACTTTGGGAGGCCAAGGCGGGTGGATCACGAGGTCGACAGATCTAGACCGTCCTGGTCAACATGGTGAAACTCCGTCTCTACTAAAAATACAAAAAATTAGCTGGGCATGGTGGCGCGTGCCTGTAATCCCAGCTACTCAGGAGGCTGAGGCAGGAGAATTGCTTTGAACCCAGGAGGCGGAGGTTGCAGTGAGCCGAGATCGTGCCATTGCACTCCAGCCTGGGTAACAAGAGCAAAACTCCATCTGAAAAAAAAGAAAAGAAAAGAAAATGAAGACTCAAAGATGCAGTTAGAGTTGAACACTTAGATACAGAGACTAAACTGGACAAAGAGTAGTAGATTATGAAGACGTAACAAGGTAAAGGGCTTGGGAAGGGTAGTTAATTGGGTAAGGTGACAAGAAAGATGAGAGTTAGTTTAACAAGGTGTATTTGTACAGATTTCCATCAGCCTCAATTTCCTGTCCTTGATGATAAGAATGACACTTTCTAGTACAGGGAGGATATATTTCACGTGGAAATTGTATCTCCTGCTTTTAAAAAGGACTACGAGAGTGTTCTTCTCACACCTGCTCTTTTTTAAGTGCCTTTGACTCAAAATAGTCAATGTGCCAGAGGGGCATATTTTGGGGTTGTGTGTTCTGAACTCTTTCAAAGGGAAAGCCAGAAGATAGAAAAATGTTTTCAACAAGATGGCCCACTTTAAATCCCACCTTGGTGTCCTTCCAAATCATAATGTGGGGCAATTTACTGAACCACTACTCTGAGCACTGTTTTTTCTTTAGTAAGTGGAAACTCTGAGTCCTGCCTCAAAGGGTTTGTAGGAGGAGTTAGAGAAATAAAGAACATGAGCATTGTGTTTGAGAAGCAGTAATACCTTGATTAATGATGACTCCTGGTAGGGATGCTATGATGCCCACCAGGTTCTGTTTCAAAGAGGAACGTATTGCTCCAGAGCAGAGCTTCCCAACCTGAGCACTACTGATATTTTGGACCAGCTAATTATTTGTTCTTGGAGGCTATGTGAATTGCGGGAAGTCTAGTAGCACCCCGGATGCTACCAGCTAGATGTCAGTAGCATCCCTCTAGTTGTGCTAATCAGAAATATTTCCAGACATTGTCAAATGTCCCCTGGTTGAAAATCACTGGCCTGGAGTCTATGAACTAGAACCCAGTAGATAGCCTTCAACCACCATCCTTTTCAAGGACTGCCTCAACTATAAAAAGCCACCTCACCCAGAATCATGCCCCTGCCCAGGACAGTTCGCACCAATAACTGATCAGTGAAGTGGTACAAGGTCTGGCCATCTTGGCTCATCAGCACAATACTAAAGGGTTCGTCTAGCTTCAGAGCTCCTCACGGAGTCCATAGGGTCCATCACTGGGCCTACATCCAGCTCACCTTCTCCCTCAGCCCACTCCTGCTTTCTCTCTCTCTCTTCCCCAGGTATTGATTTAAGGGCACTCCTTAATAAACATCTGGCATCCTAAACTCTGTCTTCGAGTCTGTTTCCTGGGAACTGATCTGAGCTAACTCCCATTCACTTCCCTCTTAGATCCAGTTATGTGAATCCTTCTCCCATCAGATCTAACAGAAGAACATACCGCACAGTTAATGACAAGTTTCATTTGCCTTAGCTCTCAGCTCTATCTCAGAATCAATCATGCAACTTAGTAATTGAGTCTGAATGTACCAACTGCCTTGTCTGTTTTAACAAGGACAAATAGTTTCATCTGGAAATGCCATCGTTGCCTTGAATGTGAAAGCAAACTGTAGTGCAATGGAGGATGACTTTGGTAATATTATTGCATTAATTCAAACAAAAAGGCAATGATAAAGCAGAGATGGAAATCCAGTATCATGGAAAAAAATTCATTTTACGTGAAATAACTTTGCATAGAATTCATCTAAACTAAGCTCACTCCATTAATCATTTTTTATTACTTGAGAGAAAGAGACAGAGAGAGAGAGAGAGATGGAGAAAGAGCAAGTGAGCAAGCAAACTAAGGACTTCTGCAGCAGAGCTTGTGTTCTTTGCCATAACAAACTTCTGATGGGGACACCAGAAGTGAGTAGCATGAGATTTCTTTATTTCAAAGCTGAATTTAACATAACCACCTTCCATGTACATAGTCTCCCACGGAGGAATGATAGATTGTACCAAAACCCAGGTCAGGTGTATCTGCACGTTAAGTCAGCAACCGCCTCTAGAATGTGGAAAATGACATTAGCAACCCAATTTGTGAGGCTCCAGATTCTCCTTCCAGCAAACTTCAGAATCAGTAAGTCTCCATGCTAATCAGGCCTGAGCATCCAGCCATCAGAAATTCTTGGGAGGTTAGAGAAAAAATCATTTGAGGCTGGGGCAGACAAATTGCTTTAGAGCAGGAGTTAGAGACCAGCCTGGGCAACATGGCAAAATACTGCCTCTACTTAAAATACAGTTAGCTAGATATGGTGGCACACACCTGTAGTCCCAGCTACTCAGG